CTGGTCCTCTATGCTTTGGTCACCGTTTGGTGGCCGGTTTTCGTCGCCTGAAGGTATTTCCAAATCATGGTCCGGTTGTTGATGGTCAGCTTACCAGGGCTCTGGTCATCATCCCCAGTGCAAATTTTATGACCTCCTGCCAACCGGAAAAGGGCCACGTGCAAAAGGGCCTGTTTACCGGCATAAAAATGGCAAAAGGCGGGGTTTCCAAAGCCCGCCAATTAAGAGGCCCCTGGGTTGGCTTGACGGAAGCCAACCGCGTGCCCTCCAGTTTCAGGCCGCCAGATTCCGCCTTTGTGTTATCTTACGGGCTTCTATGTGGCAACATAATAAGCGAACCACAGGCCTCCCCGTAAACTTCCAAAGGCCCAAAAGAAGGCTTCCGAGTTTTACTCGTACTGGTTCATCAGTACGAGATTTACTAGTACGAGGTGTATCAGTACGAGCTTCCGAGCTTTACTAATGCTGGGTAATCATTAAGCTGTACTCGTACTGGTATACTTCATTAGCTCTACGAATTATCAGTTCTACGAATTTAAACCCGGCACGCGAATTTAGCATTTCGAGGTTTCCTGCTATATTTTTACTTCCATTTGGTGACTGCCAACAAATTCCATTTCAACTTCACTTCAATGCTCGCGCTACAGGACATGCCCTACAAGTCTATAACTAACGACGTACGTCCGTTCATACAATTAAAATATGTATAAAAAATTTAAGAAGAATAGCGTGTCTTGTCCAGCACAATCACATCCGCATAGTCAGGATGAATTAAGGTAACGCGTTCTTGGAGTTCCATATCTTGAGCGGTGAGGAGGAAGTCGCTGCAGTTAAATTTGAACAAATTAGCTGCTGTTAACTAAAGCACAGACGTTAAATAATAAACATATAACAGCGCGCATCGCATGCTATAATTATTAACAATTTTTTAAAAAGCAGTGACCACAAGTACATATGTTCAGACAATTGTGAAAGTGATGCATACCAGTAGAACACAACGACAAGTAAAAATATGTCATGTTAGCGAAATTATTTTTCTCGACTGAATATTATTTTCATATATAATCCTACAAATAATATGCATGTTGTTGCTATTCTGCGATACAGTTTTATCTTTTTTTAAAATATCCAAAAACTTACGGAGTATGGTGCGAAAAAAAGCCTGACAATATTCGGCTCAATAAATTCGGGCCGCATTATGTAGCCGATGAAAAGTAACTGGATACAATCGCTGCACATAAGGAGCTGGTGAACCCGTACGTATTTCTTTTGTTTTGTCCGTCTGTTGGTCACTAACAAGCTAAATATTTCCAGTGAGTTATTCGCCCACATACCAGACGCATACCGTTTTGTAGAGAAAAATCAGCTCTGTTAAGCAGTATTTTTTATAGCGGGGTGGTTTTCATAGTTATCGTTTAAAATACATTTAAAGTTAGTATTGCAAAACGTCCAGTGACGTGTCTATGCGCACTTCAAAGATGCCGCCCATCGCGCATCTGAGATACCGATCTTCTGCAGCGCATAGAGCGGTGGCCTGCCTGTGCGACATTTACGTTAGCGGAAAATAAATTTTTTTATTTGCTCTAATTTTGAGTTCACAAAGAGCGTCAATGGATTGTTGATATTTTTGCGTGCATTTAGCGTTCAAAATCCTCAAAGTTATAATTTGCTAGTTTGTAGAACCAGAAACAAAAATTACACCGAGTTGAGATGTTCAGTGCTCAGAACATACAGCGTACCATATGCCAGCTTCCACTGAATCCGGATATGATCTGCCGAGCTGATAACCACGCGATGCAGCATATCCGCGATCAGCGCGGCAGAAGATCGGTATCTCGGATGTGTGATGGGCGGCATCTTTGAAATGCGCATAGACACGTCACTGGACGTTTTGCAATACTAACTTTAAATGTATTTAAATGATAACTATGAAAACCACCCCGCTATAAAAAATACTGCTCAACAGAGCTGATTTTTCTCTACAAAACGGTATGCGTCTGGTATGTGGGCGAATAACTCACTGGAAATATTTAGCTTGTAAGAAATATTTGGCCAGTGTTCGTTTTGGTTTTCGGTATGCATCCGTCCACACGCTTATTCCGTCAATAACTGCTGTTTTGAGGCCTTTCAAAACGTGGTTTTTACATGGGTGTTCTTGTGGTATTAAGGAACAGTCTGGAGAACTAATTGCCGCCGACCATGACCGCCATCCTGCACCGGTCCACCCTTCCTTACCTCTAAAAGCAATAAGAGTCATAGGAATATCATATAAAGTTATACAAACCCCTATCTGTACGTACAATGGACTGCAAAATTAACTTAAAGGCGGAGGATACCGGCTGTGCTCTGCCGGATATATATCGGCCAGCGTCCGGTTAATTTTGCATTCCATTGTATTACCGTACATTGACAGATTACAAAAAAAATTTTATCATAAGCAGGAGGCGGAATGGTGTTCTTCTCATGAACGAATGCTGCGGTATATATGTACGTATATACGAGTAGCAACCACATACTTTAATTTCTTGCGATGCCGGAAACTTTCCGGCATTTAAAGTTATACCTCTTTCCTTGGATAATGCGTATTAAGTGCACCTCTGCTGGAATGGAAACAAGGTCAGCTTTCTCCTGCAGAATTTGTGAGCCGAGTAAGGTTCGCATCAGGCTACGGGTAACATTGTGTTTTGCATAAGAATGCCGGGTCAACCACCCATTTTTTGATTCAAATGCGAAAAGATCGGAGGCAAATAACGGACCCCAGAGGTCCACCTGCTCCGTTAGGTGCTGCAACCCATGGAAATTTATGCCGAAATTTTCTGGCTCTGAAATGCATGGGAATTTAAGCACGCGTTAGCAGTCACGGTAGGTAATCACGATCAATATACGGTATTTCTTACCAAACAAACTTGGGAAGTCATCAGAAAATTTAGTAAGGCTTCGCGAAGCACGCTCAAGGTCATCAACACGGATTTTGGAACTGTTGAGAATCGTGTAAGCATCCACCAAAAGGTACCAGTGGTTAAGGTATTCATCGGGCAGCAGACCAACCATCGATGGAATAGAGAAATAGAGTATCCAGTTACGGATATCGGATGCCTTCCACTCCTTGACATTAATACTTTGAGGTATCCGACAAATAGATGGCGGTTGACGAAATGAACGATACCGAGAGTTTGCTTGTTGTCTCTATGTACAAATGCAACTGTGCAATGAACTTTGAAAAAGCAATGTGTTTATAATTAAAAAAACCGAAAAATAAGTCTGAGTTAAGAGCACTTTTTTACGGAGCCCGGAGGTTTCGACATGATTACCTGCACTTCGTTTAAAATAGTCTGCGCCCCACTAAAAAGGATCGTGGTGTAAGCTTTTCCGACACCCAAACATATCCCGTGCATCGCGTCAATGAGAATGCCAGTGCCGAAATCAAAAGTGTTTCCAAGTCCAATAATTTGCGGCAAACCGTTGAAGCCGAGTACCTTAAAATATTTTCGATAACAATGTCTGGTATTTCCGGTTTGTGTTCCATAAAATTGAATGCAAGTTTAAAATTGATTGTTATGCTTTATGTACTGTAATTACCGGTGTTTCTGGTGTCGCCTGCTCCGCAGCCGCTCTTATAGAATCATCTGTTCGTCGGGCGCAGATGCTGTCAGGCGGATAGATGCGACAGGTGCTACCGCCTTTATGAACGCGTTCTCCTTCAATGTCACAAAGTGCGCAACACTGGAAACCACCGGGACCGACCATATTCAAATAAAATTGTCTTGCTTGTAGGTCACCAGTGATTGCAGGAATCGTAACATATACTCTTTTCCTTCCAGTTGCAAAGTTTATGAATAATCCCGAATTATTTATTTCATCAACTTCTTCCATCAGGTTGTGGATTATCGCAGCCAGTGGCGGTTTTCCAACTCCTTGCCACAGCGCGTAACTGATAATTTCTCGTTCCGGTAACGTATGTCTGCCGATAACTCGCAAATCGTGCAAAACACTGGCCATAAACTTTGAGCCGTGCTCTCAAAGATTTTCACACCGTCGGTACTCAGGATCAAAGTGAAAACCACCTCGTCATCCCCGACGTAAGGAGCCTATCGAAATTTCTCCTGGTTCTTCCTGTAGACCTTTCCGTCAGTAATATCTGTAATGGTGCCCTGGTATCTGTACGACGTCAAATTAAACTCCTTAACAACTTCACCTGAAAATTTAATTAACTACTACACGCATACTCACAATTTTTTTCATGTAATTACAAGCACAATACAAACCCTCAAATCAAATATTTATTGCTCGTTTAGAAAAATGGCCCACTCATGGTGACAGAAATGAGATACTTACACTAAAACTTTTGCTTTCGCGCACTCCAAATCACTTTTTTCTAATATTTTATGTCATTCTAATGCTAAATGACTTGTATACCGTATACGTGTTCGAAAACTCGTTTCCGCACGAAACATCCCACTGCCGATATATCCCACTCAGATGATGATGATGATGATCATCATCATCTGAGTCGGACTTTCGGGATTCCATGTCCTGGTCCTCGTCCTCCTCATTTTCTTCAGCCTCTGAGTCCTCGGGTTACGAGCCCTCAGCGTCGGAGTCACTTGGTGTCGGTGTGGGTTCCTTCTTCCCACGCCCATTTTGTAGCCGTAGCCTTTCGGCTCTTCGTAGAAGGGGCTGACGGGGCTGGCGAAGGAGGTCTGGACTGGCCAGCTGCGTTAGGCTGTGACATAGCGTTTCGCGCCACCGACCGGTTCCGGCCGAGCGCGCACGTTCCTCCTCTGCTTCCTTTCGCATGGCCACCTCTCTTCGAAAGACTGATGGTCGGGGAGGCTTTTCGTGCGGCAGATTCTTCATGGTACAGTAGTTGACGAACGGGGGCATCACGAGTTAAACATGCGTATGAGAAAAGCTGTAATTCATCCGTTAACGCTAACAAATACGTTGCTGTGCGGTTTTCTAAGGTGCTTTTCACATGTTCGGCGGTAAATGCCGACCGAGGTTGATTTTTAATAGTGAGCATTATCACGTAAGAAACGACGGGATCTCCACGGAAAACAAAAATGCAATGAACAAAACCAGTAACAAAGGGAAAAAAGCACCAGCCTGAAACGCAATACGTATGCCATATCAAATTCACATCGCGCGAAGTCCCGTCTTCCCGGTAAAAAAATAAGATCAAGTCCAATTCAACAGCAATGCACGTGCAATCAAACGACAGAATGTTCCCAAACCATCAACAGAAAAATCAGCGAGATTGTCTCCAGAATTCTATCATAACAAAAAAATGAGTCCAGGCAACGGTGGTCAGGCCAACGGCGCCGTCATCTTGCCCACGCGCACCCAGAACAACTCCAGATTCTCCCCGCCAACGGCCTCCACGTCGTACCAACGCCCTGCAAAAATACGGATTACTGTATTAAAGGCATGTACGGAAATCGACAATAAATCGCCCACAATTATTCAACAAATATTATTAAGAATAACCAGTATTTATCGAAGAAACCTCCGCATAACCAGGAATGCGGATAAAAACTTTTTACGTGTGTTTTACAATAAAATACAGAATTTCGGTCCAACTTTTATTATTCACCTGAAAATAATGTTCTATCAATTTTTTTAAAATTCAGCCCAAGCCAGCTTTATATTTTCCTGTTTGCAATTTTCTTAATAATAAAATTTTTACTAAACGAGGAGCGAAATTTTAGAATTGCAACCAATTTAATTTTACTGATTTTTCTCATTTCTAGTTCAACGAAAATTGCTTATCTCTAATATTTTTCTTGGTTCTCTGTTAGTGATACAATTTCATTATCAATTGGGATTTAATTTCAAGATGGAAAACGATGACGCAAATTTATTTTACTTTAACTAACGAATATCCAAATGCATCGAACAGTACCTGGCGCAACGGTGAAGACGCCGGCCTTCTTCACCAGAAAACTGGACAAATCCCCCACGATATTCTCCGCCGTATGCACCATCGCCTCGCCAGCGTGGACAAACATCATCTGCAATTGCAAAGCAGCACCACTGTTACAACTATCCGATACAGTAAAATAATATTAAAATTCTGATTAAGAAAGAAATTAAAAAATAAAATGCAAAATAACAGTTTAAACGGTCCAACAATCTCCCACCCACCATGTGCGCATCCGTCGAGCAGTTGGTGCCTCCCTTGCGGTGTCCCGCCTTCACCAGCACAATGCCCGATTCGGAGGCGGCCATCTTGATTAATTTGCAATACTGCACTTTATCCGTGGGACGGGCCAGTTCGCCCGCGGCGGTGTAGTACGCCTCACCGCTCGGCTCATTGGCAACTGCAGAAAAAAACCCCAAATTATTTCCACATTCCCAATTTTAAAAAAAATCGGTGAATTATTCCTAAATTTATGAAATTATTCCATGATGGTTCCTAAAATTACGAAATTATTCCTAAATGGAAATAAAATTATTCCTAAATTCTCCTAAAGAATGAAATTATTCCTAAATGATGCCAAAAAATGAAATTATTCCTAAATGGAAATAAAATTATTCCTAGATTTCCTAAAGAAGAAATTATTCCTAAGTGATGCCAAAAAAATTATGAAACTATTCCTAAATTATTCCTGAATTTAAAAAAAATTATTCCTAAAATTATGCCAAAAAATTATGAAACTATTCCTAAATTATTCCTGAATTTAAAAAAAAATTAATCCTAAAATGATGCCAAAAAATTATGAAACTATTCATAAATTATTCCTGAATTGAAAAACATTATTTCTAAATGATGCAAAAAAATTATGAAACTATTCCAAAATTATTCCTGAATTTAAAAAAAATTATTCCTAAATTGGCTGCAGTAGAACAAACGCTATACTGACCAAAAGAGACCAAATTGATATCAACAGCGTCATCAGCCGTCTGCTCCACCAGGCAGTGCGACTTTGCGGGAGATTTGGTTTTTTTCCGATCTTTTTTGGTCTTTTTCAGACGCTGGGCACTATCCGGTTTTTCCTGCAAAAACGCCACTATTATTATCGCAAAAGTGTCCAAGTAAAAACAAAATCTGTATCAAAAACGAAACTCTGCAATATTTTCGGGAGAGTGAAGTGTAGAAAGATCATTAATTTTTTCAAATTCGCATGCAGTCAGTACTTAAAATCAGTTTAAGAAAATGTATGCAAAACCGCTCTTCATCCACTAAATAAGAGTAAACGCCAACAGAAAATTCTAAAACACCAAATGCTAACAAAATGCGAAACAATAAGACTCTTACAATACCAAATCGCTACGAAGGCATTCGTGCAACGAAAATGATACGAAAATAACAAAAATATAAAAAAATCAATACAAAGTAATAAAAACAATTATTTAAAATTTTTTAAATCGTCATTTTTGATTGCGTAATAATCTGCGCTCTTTAATTTTATTTCATTCATATAGTAGTATCGAGTCGGCTGGGTGCTTGTGCCTTCGGTTTATATGACAAACTCTGAAGGAAACAGGAAGGATTACAGGAAGCGAAAAGAAGTATGAAAATCACACGTACTTGAGCGACTGAATGTCGGCTGAACGTTAACGGTTAACCTACCTTCCGCTTCTTCGTCACATCCCGATGTTTGGTTTCCGGTTGCGGCTTCGCCACTTTCTCCACTTTCTTTGTCGCCGGAGGATTCTCAGCGACCGAACCGCGCACTTCCGGAATCGGCGTATCCGCGCGAACTGTAAGAAATAAATTTACACTTTTAACGTAGGAAAATTCTACGGTAGAATTTGTTTATCCAGCACGCTGCAGACATAAAGAAAAACCAATCGGAAACCCAGGAAGAAAACAAGGAAAAAAATTAGGAAAAATTATATAAAAAATATCTACAGGTCTAACACGTCACGGACCGCTGACGATGGGTGGCTTGGTTGGTTTCGCGCTGTGCGAGCGGTCCGTGGGCTTCTTAGGGATCCGCGGACGGACCGGATTGCGGCCGATGGTGCACAACGCCGTCAGCGCCAAGGCTTTGGCGGCTCGCCCTTCCACATGCGCCCGCAGCTTCTCCGCATCAAACACCGGAATCACCTCCGTGCCGGCTCTCTTCTTGGGAGTAGTCTTCGCAGCATCCCGAAATTCCTCTTTCTATGACGACAAACAAACCTTGTTATCTTGCAACGCAAATGATTGTCTTAAAATTTTGTCCAATTTAAAACTTTCCATCTTTTTATATCCCACACAATAATGCTATTAATTTTCTTATTTCATTATTATTAAAAATTATATATAAATGTTTTACTGCATTTTTTTCAAGCAGATAATGCCGTATTTTTGATGAATACCTTTCCCTGGCTGGCATTCGGCGCGCGTGCAAACTGTCCCGTTTCAGCGCGACAGTGCGACTTCACTTTGCGGACCACCTGCGCCGTTTTGGATTCCACACGCTTCCCATCCTGTTTCCCTGCATTTCCGGCTTTCTACCATCCCCCGCAACGAAATACACAATCAGCATAAAATTCTGCCAATTTCTCAAAGTTGAACTGTCAAAATTAGTTGTCTTATTAACGACGAAATCGAAAACAAAATTTCCGAATTAATGTCGGATGAGCGTTTCAAGGTTTACTCGTGCCCGAGTTTTTCTGCATGTTTTGATTACGCAAGGATAATTTTTTTCATCAAAACTAATTCACGGTTTTCCTGCATTTACCGTGAGAATGACGCCTGCAACGGTTTCCGCTCGCATCCCCTGTCGAATATTTTCATCCACGATTTTTTTCACAGCCTACGAAAAACGAGTAAAAATGGTACAAATCAATGCATAATTAGATGATGGCAAAATTCTGTAGATTACAGATCACTGATTTGTTACGCAATAACAATTTATAACACTCTTGACATAAAATTGCTCATACCCAGAGCAATAAATACTGAATTTTGAATAATAATAATAACACAATATTCATAATTTAAACATAATTAAAATATTATTGATATTCGGGAAATTAAAATACAAAAAATATTTTTCGTTGCCTACCGTCTGGTCTTTGCGCGGTCGGCCCTTGCTCTTCTTGGGCACGGTATCCAGCGCGAAATTATCGCTGTGAAATTTCCTGCTCTTCCCGTTCGTCATGAGTGCCGTTTTGGACGAAGAGGAGCCATTATTCAGGGAGGACTGCGACGAGTACGTCCCGTCTTGATGTGCTTCGAAGCTCACGGCTTTACCGTCGTACGTCTCCACTCCCGCAAATCGCAGATTCCCTGTCACATACACAATCCCCATAAACGATAACTGGTAAATTTTGAGAGGATTGTACAGGGCACCCACCCTGGCCATCATCCAGATATACTGCGCGCTGATCGGCTGGCAACGGCGGCAGACGAGCGCGATCGGAGCGACGCGGTTCGGTCTGCAGTTTCTGCTTCTTCGCCACTCCGCTCAGCTTGTTCTTCGCCATTTGCGCGCACACAGTTGAGCTACGCACAATAAATTTTAAAAGAAAACAATTTTAAAAAACAATTACTTCATAACTCGGATAAACGGCAAACACGCAAAGACCAAAGTGATTTTCATTCCTGCAGATTTTATTTGCGTATTTTCCAGCCTGAAAATATTTTTCGCTCGACATTTGACAACAACGGCGCGTTTTATCGTGAAAGCTCGAAGCCAGGTTAGAGGCATAGCGAGCCGAGGCACCACATGTTTTGGCGGGGGCATCATCTCGTCGGTATGACCAGGTCGACCGCCACAGTAGTCGGTCTGTATAACAAGTGTTCAATCGCTTCGGCGCAGCCTGCAGAAGAACTGCTCGTTATCAGACAGGGAAACACCTACTACAGAGTCGTTTATGTATGCGCTTGTTTCATGTAAAATGAACAAGTGGCGCTTGAAGTTCCCTGTCATCGAGTTGCCCACACTTAAAAATGACGTGAAAAATAAACAGAAACTTTTGGAAACGGCGTTCTGAAAAATCAAAAATGTTTTTGAAGTCTGGCTGGAAGTGATGTTTTGGTTTTATTGCTGAAATCACTACAGTTTCAAATCAAGTAAATTTTTAGTACGTGTTTAAGACGTTGCATAATAAAAATGGCCGATCCCTTCGCCTCCGCCTTCGAACCATCGTTTTCATCACCAGCCCAACCCAACTTCTCCCCCCGGCCCTCCATCTCGGGCTTCCCCGTGGCGCCCAATCAGGTCCTGGCCGTGTGGTCCGTCACGGCGCCCGAGAAGGCCAAATCCGATCAGATCTTCCTGACCATCGACACCGATCAGGACGGATTGATCAACGGCGGGGAATGCAAGGGTATCTTCCTGCAGTCCGGACTCCCCCCACCCATGCTGGCCCACATCTGGACGCTGTGCGACATTAAAAAGAACGGGATGCTGAACGCCGAGCAGTTCGCCCTGGCCTTCCATCTCATCCACCAGAAAGTCAAGTCCAACACGGACCCCCCGACGGCCCTGTCCCCCGACCTGGTACCCCCCTCCATGCGCCAGTACTCCACGCAGTTCCCCGTTCCGGGCGTCACGGGCCCGCTGGAGGACAGTGAGGAAGGCGGGGATGAGGATTTGAAGAAGGAGATTAAGGCGCTGGAGGAGGAGATTAAGGGCATCCGGGCCGATAGGGCGCAGCTGGTGCAGGATGTGGAAAGTCGCAAAGCAGAAGTCTTGGTAAGCCTGAGTTAGGATACAATGGTAAGCTTAAATAAATAAATAAATAAGGTAGCTGAACTAAATCATAAAATTGAATTACGTACATTATTAAAAAAATATCAAATTAATTAAAACAGGATTGGATGTTTTGGTAGTACCTAATTTTGTAGCAGTAGTGTCTGGTTAATACTGTCGTACTCTGTAATTATGAATCGAAATAAAGAAGAGAATAGTATTAATCGTAAATCAGAAGATCCTACATTGGTGAGATATGTTTAAATTGATGAAATTTATTTTTTTTTCGATGACAAATTTTCTAATTTTTCAGCAGAAAATAGCAAAAGTGTGCTTTGTGCTTCTGACTGGTGAGTTTTTGTATTCGGCAGGAAATTTCTAAATTTTAATGTTAGTAAATAGTAAATCTGGGTATTGGTAAAAGTTTCAGTTATATATGGATTGCGTGATACAGTATGAACACTGGCGGGCAGAAAGTCATGTACCGTACTAAAATTTCTTTTAAGTTAAAATTAAGTAAGTATTATGTTTATCTCTGTGATAATGTGATAAAGAGGTTTATCTCTGTGATAAAAAGCTGTAATAGTATAAATTCATAAAATATTGGTAAAAAGTAACGTAATGATAATGATTTTTTTTTATTCTACTTAAGTATTTGCGAATACTTTTTTGCTGTGAAACAACGTCTCCGATGGTTAGATTTTGCCACTTGTCTACGAAATTTGTGGTCCATCTTATGAGCATACTCACAGTCAGGTGATCTTAAAAATCAGACTATCTTTATTGATCTTAAAAGCGCATAATTTAGAGTTACACTATTATTACGCGAAAAGGAATGGAATAGGGCGTGCCGTTGCAGCAGTTTTTTTAATAATTTTTTGTTGTCTTCATTATTTTTGCACTTATGTGTTTTTTTTTTAAATTGATATTATTCATAAATAAATTTACGAGAACAGCAGTAATTACTGTACGGAACTGACATCCACCTACTTGAATTTCTAAATTTCCTTGGTAGTATTGTAGTAAATAGTAATTTTCAGTGGCAGTTTTGATTAAGGACTACGTGATATGAACACCAGCACAAGAAAGCCATGTACTTAAATTTGTTTTTCAGTTAAAATTAAACATTGCGCTTTTCACTGTGAAGCGATGTGCGAATATGAAACTGAGTAAAAAGTAACGCGAAATTTATAATTTCAGTTTTATTCCAAAATTTCGCAATTACTTTTTTGTTGTGAAACACCGACTTGTAAATACTGTTGCGCGCCACTTGTCTACGAAACTCACGTTCTCACGTGTGTTCCATTTTAGGTTAAAGGCGATTCTAAAATCACGCTTTATTAAACCATCTTAAAATCTTAAAATCACACTATTATCGCGTGCTATTATTACGGGAAAAAAAGAGTTCGACGGGCCATGCTGTTTTTTTACACGTTTTTTGTTTTTACTGTTTTTTATTTTTTTTTATTGTTATCATTTTTTCTCTCAATAGGGACGTCAGACGGAGCTGCAGAACATGACGAAAGAGCTGGAGCAACTACAAACCGCCGCCAAACAGCTGGACTTCCAGCGCGGGGAAGCGCAGAAGCGGCTGGACGACCTGGACGCCCAGAAACTCCGTCTGCAGTCCACCCACACCGCGCTGACTGCCGAAATCCAAGCGGAACGTGAGAAAACCCGCGAACTGCGCGGGGAGATTGAGCGCCGGCAGCGCGGGCAAAAGGACGAAGAACTGGAAGCCAGTCAGAAGAAGGCGGAGTTGGAGCGGCTGAAACGGGAGGAAGCGACGCTGGCGCAGAAACTAGACCACCAACGGGCGCAGATGGCCAGTCTGGAGGTGGCGGTACGCGAGGGTGACGGGCGGATCGGGCAGATTGAGGAGCACATGGCCACACTGGCGGCTATGAATGCGTCGCTGCGCGTAAGTTGCTCGTTGTGTTTTGAACGGTTTAGATGATTTTTATATTTTATACGACGAGGCTACTTTACTGCATAAATTTTTATTCAAATTGTAATAATAATTAAACAAATTTTAATACTGTACTGATTAAATAAATAATATTGCTCATTTTATTATGAATTAAATAAACAGTAATACCTAATTAATTTTATTATTGAATAATTATTATTAGGACTCGTAGTACTTGATTGAAATATTAATTCCGTAAATTTTTTGTACTCCCTTGTATGGCAAATAGCCAAGTATCAGTCCACGTTACGGCAGGTGATTTTGGTTTGGTTTAAATTAGTTTTGACCAAAAAAATTGTTTCATAATTCCATAGAAGTACTCATAATTTTTTTATTGGTAATCGTCGGAAAAGCGGTATAACTTCCGGATTGCGGACCACTGCACTACGATTCGCACTATCTGGGAATCGTTTTTATTATGACGTTGCGGTTTGGTAAGTTTTCGGTATTATTGGAGCGTGTATTTAGTATTTATTTTTATTTTTTTCATAGATTAATTGTGGCAAGCTGCTAACTATTGACACCAAATATTACGAGTCGCTTCAGTTGAAGGAGATTTTATTTATTTTGCCAAAAAATGTTATTTTTAGATTTCAGGGCTGCAATATTTATTGCAATATTTTCAGGCCGGTTAGTGTGTTCTTATCAGACCACTACACTACGATTCTCATTTATTCAGAGCGTGCTTGACACGATATTATGGTGCGATAAATTCCCGCTATTTTTATTTTGTCTTTTACAGGATGCCATCACGCAGTTCGACGCCGCGCTGGCCTCCAACGACACCTCCGGCATCAACCACACCTACCTGCACCGCCCCCTCTCCGACTTCACCTTCAACGCCGGCCTCCTCAACTTCCAGCCCATCTCCGCCGCGCCGACCTTCCCCGTCAAGACCCCCGTCACCAGCGCCTTCGACGACCCCTTCCGAGGCGAAGACCCCTTCGCCTCGTCGGCCGCCTCAACCACCATCGTCAGCGATGATCCCTGGGGCGCCTCGCCCTTCGGCGCCTTCGCCGCGGACCCCTTTGGGGGCGGGGGCGGCGGTTTCCCCCCGGAATCCCCGCTGCCGGCCCTCCCCCCGAAGAAGAGCGCGCTGACGCTGGGCGGGGCCGTCAATAAGCAGCCGCCGCCGCGGCCCGCCCCGCCCAAGGCCGGGAAGAAGGAGGGCAGTAGTCCGGCGCGTGACGCCTTCGAGAGCGATCCCTGGGGGGCGGGGGGCGGGGCGGACGGGGTGTACGCCTTCCCCGGGTTTGAGCAGCCGCAGGCGTCGTCCTTCGCTACGGATTTCGATGATTTCGGGAAGTTCTGAGACGGAATTGGGTGGTCTGTAATCTGCGGTGCGGTCTCGGTGATTAAATGTGTTTGTTTATACATTCGTCGTGTTGTATTTATTTTCCAGCAGATTTCTCACGGGTTCAACCGATTTTGATTGTGGTTTTGAAAATTAATAAGAAATTCCATAGTGATTGATAATAGTGTGTTGTGTTTCACGTTTTGGCAGTGTTTAGTCAGTTTTGTCATTTATTTTGGCGCACATGCACATGCAGTTTTCAGTTATGAAGTGCAGTAATGTTAAATTGATAAATTTAAGTTACTGTAATATTGTTCTTGTATGTGCGGATGTCAGTGTCCGAATGTGCTAAATAATGAGAATATTAATTCGGAACAATAAACGGCTAATCTGTTTTTATTGTGGAATGCTTAGGTTTCACGAGGGAAAATATATACAGTACATTATAAACCGGGCTTTTTAGTTTCTGGGCTGGGTAAAAAATTATTTTAAACCACCAAAATTGCCGCATTTAAAACTATGGTATAAAATTAAATACTTAAGAGGAGAACATTGCTGATTTACAGCGAGTGCTTACTTGTTGCGAGTCGGAAAATGAGATTTTATGGGCTATCTTAGTGCAGTGGCAAAAAATGTATAAAAATAAGTGTAGGTGTTGATTGCTGAACACAGTTACTTCAACACCGCTTTTGGACGCGGGAGTTCTGCAGTCTTATTCATAATAACAACCAAATTATGTATTTTTTTTATTTTATACAACCTACAATTTTAATTCTGGGTAAAACTGAATAATGGGCTGGATTGTTGTCCTTTTATTACACGTGCACTGACGGTGAAGTGCCAGCTGCGTGGTGTGGACGTACAGTAAACTCGTACAGCAGCACGTATCACGTACGGAAAACTATCAGTAGCGCTACCTTGTCGACCAGACTCACTCGATCTGGTGTTTTCACTGTTTTGACTTTTGATGCTCAATAGTCAATTAGCACATGTTTACTTTTCGTCATATTCACTTCCGCTTTTTCCCACATCGTGGTTAATACTTATAGTACGGGATTTCAATCGTTAATCATCGGCCATCACAGAAAATGGAGCATCAAGATGAGGTGCCGAGCGACAGCGAGGAAACATCCACTAACCCGAAAAAGAACCAGAAGCGCAAATCGGACAACAGCTCCGACACATCCCCGACTGCATCACGTCGAGGCAAACGTCTTTCAACCCCCTTCCCCAACTTTTCCTGCTAAAAAAATCACCGCTGGTTTTTCCCCTTGTAGATACTTCAGCTGAAACATCTAGTGGTAAGGAGTCTGCCCAGAAGATGAAGAAATCCAATGAACAGATTTCCACGAACCCTGTCGCCCAGCCGTCCGCCCCGGGATCCGATGACGAGGAGATGCCCGCGCTGCTGGATCCCTGGCAGATGCGCGAGCTGGCCCTGGCCGAGCCGAACCGGATGAAGCAGGAGATGTCACGGGAGCGTATGAGCGAGCGCATCGCCACCCTCCAGGAGAATGAGGAGGCGGCGCAACGCGATGCGCTGGCGGACATGCCCCCCCTGATGGAGCCGGGGGCGGCGGGGGGCCGGGCGCGGGGCATTCGGATTATCAGCGTGTCCACCGGGTCGGATGAGGAGGAGGGACCCAACGCGGACGATCTGCCCGATCTCCTGTCTCCTGGGTGAGAAAAACATGCAAAATATTTTTATTAGTTAGCTGTTAGGAACTTATTTTTCAAAGTGCCTTTTTAATTAGATTTTTTCTTTTTAATCAGGTTTTCTGACTAGTTTTCAACGTGCTCTTTTTAATACTTTTTCGTTGTATTTTTTTAGAAATTTTCTTTGTAATTACGGTTTATATTTTGTGGAGGTTTTTGTTGTCTTGAAAAGAAATTATTACGGTTGTGCGCAGCGGCTTTTTGAAAATGTTGGGCAAATTAGCGCTTGAATTATGAAATTTATGTCATGTGAGTTAATTAACGTTAAAAGGGTAAAACGCGTGCGAACCGATTCCTTTGAGATTTTCTTGATGATTGCCTATTGTTGTAGAGTATTACGAACAGGGATTTCAGAAGGGTGATTATTAGGAAGAAATACAATATTTTCCGTTATAAGTACGTATTTTCTCGGGCAGGGACTCGGATCGCATGGAAGTGTCGGACGATGAAGATGAGGACGAGGCCCGCGGCGACGCCCAGTCGGACAACCCCATCCTGTGGCACACCCCCGCCGACCCCCACGAGCTCATCGCCCCCCTCCCGCCCCTGTCGCCCCGCCAGTCCCTGCCGGCACTGCTGCTGTGGAAAGAGCTCAATCCTTTCCCCGCCGCGCTGCAGCTGCGCCAGAAACTCGCCTCCCACCGCGATCTCGTCCAGCGTCTGGGCCTCTACGCCACCCTCGACCATCATACCGGTATGGTTCGTCTGAAACAGCGTAAAATTACTGCAGAACGGAATCCGGGGCGTATCCTATGGAATACTCAGTTTTCTTTCACATTATTCGTGATTTCTTTAACTTTTTGTGGAGATTTTCTCTGATAAAATTTCTCAATCTTTTGCCAGATGTTTTGGAAATTTAATTCCTATGAATCGTTGAGCTGTTTTCGAAATTATTAATTATTATTTTGTTTTGAATTTTTTCCAGTTTTTAAATTATTTTCAAGATATTGTCTAAAATAAATTGCGAAGTCGGTGCTATTAAATGCTTTCAGAAATGTCTAGATTTCTGAACTTTTTAGCCGTTTTGTTCACTTAATTTATAACATTGTTTTGCCGATATTCTGTGATTCAAATTCTTTCTGATCGTTCGGAGCTAGTTTCAGAATTGTAATTCTGGAAATTTTTGAAATTATCACTACTCATACTCGTAATTGATGTTTTGGGTTTCGTATTTTGTACATTATTAAAACAGGATTTCCTTCATCGCGGTGCTGGCGATAGCTGTATATGCTTCTCCATTAGAAACTGCGGGGGCGAAACGTGAGTTTTTTGTGCTGTGTTGCAGGCTGTGTGAATGCGCTGAACTTCAATCCGGCCGGGACGCTGTTGGCCAGCGGATCGGACGATCTGGAGGTGGGCGTGTGGGATTGGATGCAGAAGAAGCTCAAGTACTCCTTCCCCTCCGGCCACAACGCCAATGTCTTCCAGGTACCCGTCTAACTGCGTTTTTTAAGCGGTAATAATTTTGTTGCCACGCTAATTGTGTTATAATCCGTGGAATATGGTACAGTACGCATAAATAATACTTCCGGAAATGCCTCGAATCACGTTGATAATAATCGTTAATCAGCTGGTCTAAAAAGAAAATACAGGCCTCTGTATTCTGTTCTGTTAACCCATTTTTTTTATCAACCATTTTCCTGTTGACGGCTGGCAGCCTCAGAAGTTACTCTGGATTATCCAGTGTACTACGCTTTCTGTGTTGTAAATAGTACTGAAAGCCTATTGCTGCAATAGAGATTAGAATGTTGTCATGTGACAATGTAAATTGAGTGTATTAATTTTTCTGTTGAACCCGGTTAAAATGAAAAGTATCTTAAAAGTTTACATTATGTTGTATCATTAAAAAAGTACTGAATAATTTGTCAACAGAGATCGAGTTGATTATTCAGTATACTGCGAGTGCGTTTGATATTGAATTTACCCACTGGACTACGTATTCTGTCGTCGAAAGGTAGATAAATACATCGTTGTCGAATTGTCATAAAAATATAAAAAAAAATCTGGGAAAGTAAAATAGCTAAATAAAATAAAGTATCTGTTGATTAAATATGCGGGATGTGTGATTGATTGCAGACGAAATTCTTGCCGTTGAGCAACGATTCACTGATTGTGACGGCGTCGCGGGATGGTGGAGTGCGCTTAGCGGAATTGTCGATGGCCGGCGGACGCCCGAAAATCCGGCATTTATGCCGACATCACGGCGCCTGCCATAAGGTTGGTAAAATATGCCGATAAATTAATTCGTTACTGTCCGTTTTCTACGTAACGATCGTCTTTAAATAAATACGGAAATTATACTTATGGTTTGTCGATATTAAACTTAATTGTTTTTCGGTGCGTTTGTCGCAGTTGTTTTTAGTTAAAATTTGGTAGAAGTGCTGAACTTCTTTTCGGTAGCCCATAATTATTTTCGGTGGAATATTTCCAGTAGATGTTCGAAACTGATTTTCCGTACAATGGTCTGCATTATTGCTGGTGGATTCCAGTAATGAAATTGTAGTAAATGTTTCGAATTCTTTCCGATGCATTTCAGTACTTAATTATTTTTTCGGTAGAATATTTTCAGTAGATTCCCGTAGATTATTTTCCGCTGGTGTTTTATGCATTAGTGAATTTTTCCGGTAGATTTTATCGTCCCAGCAAATGAATTTTAGTGCTAGACTGCTAGTCAATGCTTCCACTTTTTCCTCCGCAGATTGATGTAAGAGCCGATGCGCATTATCATATTCTGACCAGCGGCGAGGACGCCGTGGTGAACTACATCGACGTGCGGGAAGCCAAGGCCCGTAAATGCGTCGTGGTGCGGGATTCTAAGAGCTCCAAAGTGCCGCTGTACTCCATTATGTCCAATCCGCTCAACGCCCACGAATTCGTCGTGTCCGGCTACGGAAAATACGTCCGGTAGGGTTTCCAATTTCTCTAACTAGACATTAAACAAGTCACGAATTAATTAAGTTCACTAAGTAAATGTTTTTGCTGAAATTCTTTTTGAATATCTACCGCTGAATTTATTTCAGTTTTGCTGATTAGCTTGTTTTTATTTGTTATTTACCATTACAAATTATTCTTTTGATTTATTATTTGTTTGTTATTTATTAGTAACCATTGCCGATTGAATTGAATTATTTTTATTTTACTATTGCAAATTGAATTAAGTTATTTCTTATTTATCATTGCAAATTGAACTGAGTTACCTGTAATTATTATTTACCATTGCAAAAGTACCAGTAAATTCGAGAACGTTAGGCCCGCGTTCATTACTGAAGTATACGAAAAAGTACGTAAATGAGAACAGCAATGTATTTTTAAGTTGCGCTTGAAGGCAAAAAATGCAGTGATAATTTTTGCTCGTGTAGTAAGATTTAATCAATAATTGCTACATAATTTTGCTGTTACGACAGCGCGTATGATATGAGAAAATTGGACTCGGATCCGTCCAAATGCCAGCCGATACTGAGCCTCTGCCCGCCGCTGCTGCAGCCGAAAAGCAGCGCACTGAGCGTCTCATCCGCCGTCTACAACTACAACGGATCCGGTGCGTTGGATGTTGTGCATTGACAATTAGTACTAGTGTAGTATTACGTTACATAATTGTAAGTTCATTTTTGATGAAGAAAAACACTGTAAGAATGAATTAATCGTCTCCCGGAATTAAACCCCCGGATAAAAAATTCAATGATTAAATATGTTTTGATAATTAACAACAATTTCTAGGGAAGAAATCAATCAATGAAAATAAATTTGACAAAGTAGATTTCACAAATAATATTCTTGATGCTTAAAAGGAATTTCGGAAGAAATAAATCGTCCATCAGAATTAATTTCGATTAAGCATATAATTTTTGCGGACAAAGCGAATTTGGATAAATATGGAATAAGTTTTTTGAATTTCGATTATCCTGCATAAATAAACGTCCATCGAAATTAATCTCGACAAAGCATAATTTGCGATTTTAAATAAATGAACAATAAGTTTTTTTTGGTTTTCAGTTTTTCTTGATAGGTAAATCGTCCCTCGAAATTGATCTCTAAAAAACATAGAATTGTGCGGATGAAGCGATTTTTGACAAATAAGAAATCAGTTAATAACTCGTCTGTGGATTGTGGATATTGATCTGATGTATACACAAAAAAATAATTGTAGAAATTCTGGCCACCTACAATGACTTCCACATTTTCCTGTTTAAAAACTGCGCGGACGAAACGGTGGCCACGGTGGATCTGCAGCACTACGAGGGCCATCGCAACAACCAGACCGTCAAGGGCGTCAACTTCTACGGCGCCAAGAGCGAGTACGTGGTCAGCGGCAGCGACTGCGGCCGCGTCTTCTTCTGGGACAAGGAGACGGCAAGGATTGTCCACTATCTCATGGCCGATGAGATCGGCGCGGTAAGAGCGATAACCCGATTTTTGTTTTTTTTTATTATTTTTGAGGAGAAAATAGTTGATTTCCTCCCCACAACTTATGGTTGTTTTAGGCTTCCAGCTCTGTTTGTGCAGCGTCGTCTGCAGTGATCTGCGATGAAAATGCATCGTATAAAATAATTCAGAAAAATAATAAACAAAAATTAAAATAATAATAAAAAAATAAAGAAAAATAGTGATAATAATAAAATAATAGGTGTATAAAATAACGCTAAAAAATAGGTCATATGTATATTAATATTTTATTGATTTAATGGTACTGGTATTATTATAAATCAAAATATAAGGAAATTAATATATACGTTGGTTATATGTCTGTGAGTGTTAAGTTTTACTCGCTCAAGGATATCGGCAGTTGTGCAGTCGTTGTGCAATCTGCCAAAGTGGAAAACGTGGTCTTATACGGTGTTTTCGTAGTGTATCGGCTCAGTGGTCGATTAAACTCGGAAAGTGTGCTGAAATTCCGTGTATATGAATTTATGCAAATTTGTTCTCAAATATTGCCGAAGTTTTTCCACAGCTTTTGCTTCTGTGGGGTATGTTTTTGAAACAAGCCCTTGGAAAAAAATCCGTGTGAAAAACAGCGATTAAATGGAATAACATTACAATTTAATTGTAATTAAATACCGGCATATTTTCGGTGGTTTCTTGTCCGGTAGACAATTTCGGTTACGTTGTTATTTTTTGTGCATTAAATTCTGGTGGCGCCCTCGCCATAGTTTTCTCCACATTTGTGTTTTAACCAGCTCATTTGAATGATTTAAAAAATTGTAATAGCGCAATTTGAAACTGTGGTTTTTCTGCGTGATTTTTTCTATATTTAACGATTTTTTGCAGGTGAATGTTCTGGAGCCGCATCCCCGGGATCCGTATTTCGCCACCAGCGGACTGGAGCATACCGCCAAGATTTGGGCACCTCTCAACGATGAGCCAGCGAATTTGGAAGATCTCATTCCCGTAATGCGCAGTTAACAGCCATTTTAAATGAATTAAAATCCGATTTTTACCCGGGTGTTTTTTGGACAGATTATCGATAAGAACAGCAACGAGCGGAAACGCGATGCCCGGGAAATGGGCAATCATTCGGCCCGCGAAGAGCGATTCTTTATGATGCTGATGAACCATATTGCTCGTCGCGCCAACCGTGCCAATCGCGATAACAACAACGACAACGAGGATAACGCTCCGGTAAAAATTTATATTTTTAATTTTGTTTAGGTAGTAATTTTATTTATTCAACGATTTCTGTTGATTATTTTCAAGATATTTTTGTTTGATATTGCATACGAGTATTTACATTTTCAGATACATTTTTGTACATATTTTTCGTTGTTTTTAATCCTCATTTGTTTTATTTTAACTTTTTACCTACTCGAATATGGAATTTGATGTTCATATTTTTGAATTTTTCATTCCCGTTTTTATTTATTTTTTCATCGAGGGTGATATTTTTTGTTTTATTCGAGCACGTTGGGGTAACGTTGCACGTTTTATTCGTTGCACGTTGGGGTGTGGTTTCTTACTTGGTATTTAAGTATTTAATTTAAATTTAATCTTATTAGTTTTGGCAATGAGTAATCATTGTGAAGTTTGTTCTTATTAGTTGATTGATTTTATTTTATTGCTATTTAAATTCAATTTAAATTAGGAGGAAGCGGAGAACGATTCGGATGAGAGTGAAGGCGATGCCGATGTGCAGGTGGGCCGGGTCCGCTGTGGAACGAACTGACGCTGCGAATTTTCTTATGTTTTTTTGGGAATGAATCTGGGATTGTGGGAATAATATCCCATGCGTTTGATGATCGCTGTTTGTGAAAATTCATAGAAAATTGTAAATCCTTATTTTGTTGTCGGAAGGGGATCTGCTGTACAGTACAGATGCGGAGGATGAATTTATTACTGGTTAATAATTGCGTTGAAGGCCGGATTGTAAAGGCGTTGTAGAGTTTTTCTGATGTACAAATTCCCCGAAATGTGTAGAATAATTTTGAGAGAGAAAATAAATAGACGGTGGAGAAAAATAAAAAGAGAAAAAAGAAAAGAAAAATGAAAAAAGTAAACGTCTCGAATTAATAAAAAGTTAGTAAATTAATAAATAATGAAATTACTGTAATAAAAATTAATAAATTAATAAAAATTAATAAAAAATTAATAAATTAAAATTAATTAAAATAGATTAAATGTAAATTAATAAAAAATAGAGTTTTCTTGGAAGTACAGAAAGCGAAAACTGTAGCAAAAAATAACAGGAATTTTTTGCAAATGTATATATACAGAGTTTATGGAAAATGTGCGGAAAAACTGAATCGGCGATCAATCACGGCGAAGAGGAGCGCTTGCAAAAAATATGATTTACGCTGAAATATTTCTCGTATTTTAACTGCAGTTAAATGGTTTTAATATGATATTTCCCGAAAATTCTCGATGCTTTTCCGCGTATCGCGGGTTTACGTCAGTGCAGTTGAATTTGTCGGCGAAAAATGATGGCGACTGCCACCTTCATCGCGGGATTCCTTTAGCTGCAGGATGAATGTCCCATAGGAAAACAGAATGCCAACCATCTAGAAAACCGATAAAAACTATTAAAAGATATATGTAATTTAATTATCAATCGAAAGTTTAACAAATTCCTTTAATTAACGATACATACATATAGATAAACTGTTTTTAACCAATGAAATCTTTACAAAATCATTTTAATTAACAATAAAAAATTGTAGCAGGTTTTTTTAAAATTGCTGATATAATAATTTAATTATTTTAATTAATGACAGAAAATATTTGGATCAACTTGTCTAACTATTTGTAACTAACTAAGTATTTGTAACGATACAAATGCTATGAAAGTGCATGGGTTATTGATTAAAAAAATGTTATAAAAGTAGTTCAACCAAAAAAAGCGACGGCTGACCGTCGCAATGAAAGAGCGATCCACCAGAACAATTCCCGCGATAGAGAAGCCGGTCGGTTTTGCTGTGACACGGTGGAGAGTGGCCAACAGTTTGGTGCTGCCTTTATTACCGTCGGTCTCCGCGTTGATCCTGTCTTGCAGTTCATCGGAAATGTCAGCCTGTAATTTTTTTTTAAATTTATATGTACATATTAACATGTATGAGCATTTAAAATAAGTTTGCTGTATATGAGTTTAGTTCTATGTAGTTTGTCAAATTTTTATATACTTGTACTGTTGTACATGCATATAAAAGTGGTTTATATTTAAAATTTACGAATTCAAAAAGTTATGCTAGACAGGCCAGGCTAAATTATTATTCGCATTATTTAAATCTACTCGTTCAAAAATTTAAATAACCTGTTCGTGCACGTAAATCATAGAGAGCGTAATGGTCAGCAAAACGATCAGCAGGACAATTCCGCTCTGGATCTGCACACCGGCCGATAAATACACCGTGGAACGCGATCCCGCGACACTGTTGATGATCCACACAATCCACAAGGTCGCTTGCAGATAGAACAGCAGGAAAAACACACCCATGTGATCGGAGAACCGCTTAATGCACCGGCACAATGTGGTATGATCCTGTACTACGGTATCTACCAGCTCGGTGTCCGTCACGCAGCGGAGACGCTGTTTCATCCGATGACACAACCGTCCAGAAACCAGGCACACCAGAAAGCACATCCCGATGATGCAGTACACCGCGGCGATGCGCATCACGTTGAGGATGGCGAAGGTGTGGGTGAGGAGAGTGGAGGTCTGGAAGACGGTGATCCCGTAGTGGGCCGCCCAGAAATCCGCTTCGATGGTGGCCGCACGGCGCAAGGACAGCCGGAACCAGGCAGCAGATTGATACCTGGAAAAATTTACCGTTTTTCCTTTTTTGGGCGGTTACTCGTTTTCTCTATCGACTCTTTTTCTCTATCGGTCTGAAGGAAATGACCCGGTAGGGGGGGGGGGGGTTCCAAATTCGTGTACATGCACGAAAACTCTCACTTTCGCGCACGTCCAATTTTGTATTGGTTTCTGAGATTCTGTCGTCCCGATGATTTTGTTTAGTGTTGCCGTTTGTTACGAAAACATTTTCGAATACTATTTAGTAACATTTTCGTTGTCGTAACGAAAACTAAACGTCGGAGCGTTACGAAAACTAAAAGTCGTAGACTTTTAATTTTCGTTATGATTACGGAAAGTTACATTGTATTCGTATGCGTTACGATTACGAAAACGAAAATTTTTTCGTTCGACAACACTAGATTTACAACCAGCTTGTCTCCATGGCACTAACACAGCGACTATAGAAATTCACGGGTTACGCCAAACTCCAGACTACACTACAGTTACACTATTTACGCTCTACATGGTTAAACCGTCGTTAGAAGAGGAAAACCGTTATTTCTTCGACGTACAGTAATGTCGTTAGCGCTGTCAACAGAACGGTAGACAGGGTGACCAGAAACCCGGTCTCGTGCGGTGTGAAGTAAGCCTCTTCATAGCGACGTATCCGCTGAATGCACGCGCTGATACCCCTCCACTGCACAGCGATGGATACCGCCCCTACGAACACCACGACATCCGCCAGTTTCGAGCACATGTTCTCGATGAAACTATCCAGCGTCCCGGTTAGATCGTGAAGAAACAGTGGAATCACCACCAGGAACAGGTACACGCAGCGGAGTACGGTAAAGATCACGATCCACAGATATGCAAAGACCAGGGAGAATGTGGATGCACTGGTGTCGTGTACTGTAAATAAAGGACAGATTCCGCAGGTTTTCAGCATCAATTCACATAATTTCATCCAGCCATCCAGGATCGTCGTTACCGGTTTGTGGGGCGCGGTTGTGGCGGTAGGATGGATACGCCGGCTAAAGTGTTTTTGTAGGGTGGTCATCACGAAGCGCATGGTTCGTATACCGTTTTGTATCTGGTTGCGAGAGATGCTAGAAATACGGTTTCGCGTACAGGCTTAGCGAATAATCCCGCAACACCGCTCTAGCTGTTTATATCAATACAGTGATAAACACTGACAAGGACCGTTGGGAGAGACTATCAAATATTTGCGTTCAGTGTCGCATAAATGGCTTTGCACCTTTGCTCAAGAAGCATAAGCTTTGTAATTTACATACTGTTGTGGGAATTAAAGGAACCAGTGCATGCACCAAGCGTGTCAGTCGATACCATGTGAATACAGTGGACTAACTGGACTTTATAGTTCATAAAGATCTGACACGTGCCGCCCCCAGCCGTATAGCGCTATGCGTATGAGTGGATATGCAGTAACTTCGTTTTGAAGTCCAGTGTCTGATACTTACTACTAACTTTATGTATTTATTGTTAAGAATGAGATCAAGTCTGTGCTATATGCGTCAAATTCATACGGCACTGAGGTTAGTTAGAAGTATAGACTCTCTTCTTATCCTCTGATTAGGATTACGCGAGGGAAAGATAATTTTGACCGGGTATGTTTGGTACGAGTATACAGAGTACGATGTCAGTTTGGTGATGGTTAATACAATAGTTATGTGGTAGTCAGTGACTCAGTGCCCGGAGGTAACAATCTAGTAAACGTCAGAATTAAGGTTATTTTCGTAGCCATCGTGGTACTACCGTAGAGTATATCACTGCAGGGGTATCACAATGTACAAGAAACATAGGAATCACACATTCTGTGTTCTGTCGACAACAGAAATATTGTAACGAATAGTATGGCAAACAAAATGGCAAACAAACGTTCTGCACTTTGTGAACAAACTAGCGCTAGTTGACACAGTACGAGTAAATTTCTTATTAACCACAGACGAAGTTGCATTTTGAGAAAAATTTTGTTCTGATTTTATTTGTAGTACGTTTTCACTGTGTTTTACAAAGAACTTTCAGTTTGTACTAGAGTAGTTATATTGGTAATGGTACATAAAGTGTTATGATCGGCACTGCCACCTTCGTTACGGGATTCCTTCAACTGAAGAATGAAAGTTCCGTAAGTGAACAGAATACCGACCATCTAAAAACAAAAACGATACAATAAAACTTCGCTGTACGCATTTTTGTATAGCAGTACTTATATTCTACGAACCGTCGCAATGAAAGAGCGGTCCACGAGAACGATTCCGGCAATGGAGAATCCAGTTGGTTTGGCAGTCATGCGGGACAAACGTGCTAGCAGCTTGATGCATTTACTGTCGTTGGCTTCTACGTTAATTCGCTCCTGTACTTCGCAGGAAATGTCAGCCTACACGAGAATAAAAGACCCTGCCAAAATAATTTGATTATTAAACCTCAGAAATCGTTACATCATTTTCCCAGTTAGTCGCTAACCAATAACCTGTATCATGCAGCCATTCTACGCTTCGCTCACAAAAATCTGGTGCACTTTGATGCTATGATCCAGTAGATCCTTGATTTTGATGATATAATACATCTGCTTTCCGGGAACATGGTACAGTACAAGTTCTAAACCAAACACCAACCTGCTCGTGTACGTAGATCATGGCACATGTGAAAATAAACAAAACAATCATCTGTGCAATGCCGCTCTGTATTTGCACCCCGGCCGACACGTACACCGGGGAATTAGCACTCCCGCCAGCCACACTATTGATTATCCAGGCAATCCACATAGTGGCTTGTAGATAGAACAGCAGCAGGAACACCCCCAGATGCTTCGAGAACCTCTCTATATCGCGACACAGCGCGACCTGATCCTCTACTACCTTATCAAAAATCATGGTGTCTCCAACGCAGCGAAGACGGTGTTTCAGTCGCTGACATAACCGTCCAAAAACCAGGCACACCAAAAAACACACCCCGATAACGCAGTATACCGAAGCCAAGCTAATCACGTGGAGGAGGGCGAAAGTAGAATTCAGGAAGGCGGAGGTCTGGAAGACGGTGACCCCGTAGTGTGACGCCCAGAAATTAGCTTCGACGGTGGCCGCACGATGCAATGACAGCCGGAACCAGGCAGCTGATTGGTAGAGTAGTGTCGTTAACGCTGATAGCAGAACGGTGGAAAGGACGATTAGTAAACCGGTTTCGTGTGGTGTGGAGTAAGCGTCTTCGTACCGGCGTATCCGCTGGATGCACGCGCTGATGGCTGTCCATTGCGAGGCGATGGAAACCGCCGTAATGAAGATCATTACGTGACTGAACTGGGAGCAGGTGTTCTCGATGATACTGTCTAAAGTCCCGGTGAGATCGTTGAGGAACAACGGAACGGCTATGGAGCACAGGTACATGCTGCGGAATATGGTAAAAGTCATAATCCATAGGTACGACAAGACTGTTGAGGATGTGGATGTGCTGATGGTGTACGCGAATAATGGACAAAGTCCGCTGATTTTCAGTAAGGACACCCATAATGCTAACCAGACATCCAAAACTGTACTGATCGGTTTGCGCGATGCTTTCTTAAGATGGATAATGTGTTGGTAAATTGCCGCTATGGCGAGCTGCATAGTTCGGTGGCACCGTAGCTATAACTCTGCAGATGGTGAAAGCCAGGAGTGAGAGTACTTTCGAGGGTGCGTTACTACCTTAACTGCGTTGAAGCGAAGCACCGGACGCCAGCAATGGTAGTTCTTGGGTTAATCAGACTCCCTGAGCATGAAACCTTTGGACATTTGTTGTACGTTGTTAAACGCGTCAGCGATGCAGTATCCATTTCACGCTTAGTCAAGTGCACCTAGAATATTTCGAGTAACGAGCTGCTGCATAGGCCATAAAGTTTTCCCATGGCGCCGGCAAGAATCACTGAATAGCATTGACGCGTTGATTATCGTTGAACAGTATTGAAGTAGCTGTAAATTATCCACAGACCACAAACGATTAACCAACAGACGGGAGAAGCGCGCAGTAATTGTATCGGAAAAGCGTTTCTACTATTGCAGTTCCTTGTGGTATGCTCTACCAGGTAGAGTATATGCCGATAAAATCCTTGCAGATCCCGATTGGATAACGAGAGTTGAATGGATTAGCACTTAGCAGTAAATCTACTCGTAGCAATTTAGCCGACCGACACGACAACCGTAACTGACCACATCAGCAGCTGCTTGAAAATTTGTTTATATCAGAAAGAATCAAAGACTGTGCACTTGTATACCTAATCGATCAACAACGGGGACTACATGTCTCGTTAAAAAATGCTATGGGAAAGGTCAAGCGTAACCAGTAAACAGACGTTGATGGAAAGCTACGAATCGCCCAGTGAAATACGATTACTCTTGTATCCATAGCACTGGCTGTAGACTTTCTCCTGACAAAAAAAAAACGCATTTAGTTATGTAGGGAAGTCTCGGTGGGATTTAACCGAATTCATTCCGAATGCCGTTCATCAACGGCACGATGTTCCAAATTCCAGCACCCGGGTGAAGTCAGGATCGACACAAAACTGCTGTCCCTGATTGGTAGGTGGTACCTGCACTCTGGCAAACTTTCCATCCACCGTGCACACCGGTACATAGGGATTCTTCAGTTGGACGGCTACAAAATGCAAAAATAGAACGACTTCGCATGTTGTCTCTACTGCAAAATTATGCTATACCACAATATTAGATCCACGCTCTAAGAGCATCTCAAGTCGAACTGGTTAATATTCGAGAGGGAAATTGTGTGCAGGTTTAGAAACAGAATCGCCAGATTCCGATAAATATGTGTAAATATGGTACGCTCATGGTAGCTGGTCAGAACAGATAAACACGATATGGTGCAACCACTAAGACAACATTCATCCGCTTGCATACTTAGACACCGATTAGATTTGCCGTAAAATGCCATAAATTTTGGCATGAGATGCCAACAAAATTTAAACCAGCAATTTATGTCAATCGTCGGTACCTTGCTGGCGTGCTTTCACGCATGAACACTTGCCCACGTTGTGGTACAGTCCGATCGGTGTTCGATCGCGGAGAATGCACCGCTCACTAGGAGAAATATCTGAAGTGCCAACAAATCCAATCAGTGTAAACGACAATGCGTGCGTATTTGGCAGGATCACCACTCACCGCCATCCGTCGCTCCCAGGAACAGTGTGCCAATAATGAATACAACTATTCTTGTATCCATTGCCCTGGTTGGGGATATTCTTCCTGGCAAAAAGAAAATCACTGCCTACAAGTGCCTAACCGAAGTGATTCTCCAAGCCGAAGCACGCTTCTGTTTAACAGCCGCTCTGCCACGTGTTGAGCTACCGTTGGTCTACCGTAGGAAATGGTACTGCAAATGCACAGACACCGACGGTGTACCGTTTGATCTTTTGACTGAATACTACCGACTGTGTGTTCATAATTTCATGCACAAAATAATTTCACACCAGTTGCGGTAGTTGGCCTGTCGAGCATGGGTTGGGTCAAAGTGCCTCGAGGCAGCCAGCATCGACATACGCGGCATAGAGGAATAAACAGAAGCGTTTCTGCACCCGGTACACTAATTGGTAAAATATTAGGCTAAACAAATAGTTTCGCCTTTCGTCTCTGCTTTACTGAATTTCTGGCTGCATCACAGTGCTTACAAACTGCTGCAGCAAATCACGCTTATCTCAAAGATGTGCCTTTTTGTTGTATAAGTGTGGGCCGCTCTGCTTCTCAAAAGAGCACCAATGGCGATCTAGTGAGCCGATTAATTCACAGCTTGGCTGAGATCTGCGATCTGCAGCGTTTTTTTATGTTGAAGAACTCCGGGCTAATGTTACTGTGCTGTCAGTTTGTTCCGCTAAATTTTATAAAACACAGCCTCGATCTATTATCGCTACGAGACAACGTCGAATAACCGAGTGTGCGCTGTTTGTAACAGCACCGGCAATGACGAGTTTAATTTTTCTTTCACTAAGAAAAGTGACCGCTGTTTGTAACTGTACAACCGTAAATTAATAGAAAAGCGCTTCATCGGAGGAGCACGTACACGAAAGATTTCACAGCACTAATTATAGATTTCTACAAAGATCCAACTGCAAATCGGGTATACCAAGGCTGCAAATCGGGTATACCATCGCATCAATGGAAACTGAATGTAACTGCCGGAATCATTCATCATTGTCCACAAACTGTACATCGCCTGCAAAATGATCAGCACGTGATATGTATTTACGAATAATTGCGAATATGATCCAAACGTAATATTTCATACCATTTGCAGTCACTTTCCACGATGGCTTTCCCTTATCACGGTGCTCGTAACCGGAGGTTGCCAGTCCTCCAATGTACGTTTTCCCGGCATCGTTATCAATGGATACACCGCGGCAACTCCAGTTCCTGCCTAAATCGTTGTTTAAAATACAGGTCCCCAAGTATGTCTTTTTGTTCTGGGGCGCGTCCCTCAAAGCATCATCAAACGCGGACGCTGTAAAAATCATACTTCTGTTGAATTCTGTTGAATCATACTTCTGTTGTAACAGCAAGACGGTGAATTTAAAACTGTCTGTACTTTTTAGTAAGTTACCATGACTTTTATTTTGTTTTGTTGAAAAATATTATTAACGATTTGTTATAATTGTGGAAATTTATAATAAAATAATTTATTTCAATTTCATACTCATAAACCTGCACATTTTCGACTCACCGAATTGTTGTTTGGATATGACATCCCCGTTGGAGGTGACGGGTGGATCGCTGCACTTGTAAAAAAAGAGCGGAGTGTTCTTTTCATCGTTCAGTCGTTTTTGAGGGATATCATTAGACGCCGGGCGGTCGTTGAGTAGTTTATCTCTGTCCGCTTTCGATGCATAGGTGCATTTCTTCTGGCATCTTTTTTCACCGTTGCTGTAAAACCGGCAAAGGTACGCCACGGGCGGCAGCGCGAATGGATCGTCTTCCGCCAATGCCACAGCACAGACTGAAAAATATAAGAGCAATTACTAATTAATGAGCAATTAATTATTGCCTAAATATTTAAAGAACTAATTACCCAGTTTCCTCAAGTAATGTTAATGATAAAGTCACAAATTAGTTAACTGACTACTGTAAAGCGTAAATCGGCAAATATTTTCAGTTTGTTCGATGAAGTCTCTCTTACCGCTTAAAATGACGATTAAGCCGATCAGCTTTGTCATGGTATTGCAATTTAGCAAAACGAGGAAGTCCTACAGCGAAATCGACACCGAGATAATCTGCGTGAACAGAGAGGAAAACACCGGTTTATAACGGCGGAGCGGATATGTTTGCTCACCGCTCCGAAATTTTTTTGTTTGTTCCTGATGACCGTCATAGCTGACATGTAGTGGTTGTGTAAGAAAGGTAATTATCTTGGAAAGACGGATGACACGTATGCTGGAAAATCTGCTGATTTAGATTTGCAACACCCTGTTTGACCGGTCCTTCTTCTGGAAAACAAATATAGTCGGAGCAAACCAGCACTTCTGCTCGTGGAAGAAGTTTTTTTGTTCCGGTTTCCGCTGTTGCGTTCAGCCAGCTTTTTCCAAGCAACTGTCTCTGTAGAGTGTAATCGGTCGATAACTCTGACAATGAAGAAACCCCGAGAATTAGGCATCAGTTGTAAAATAATAGAATCCAGTCACCGCATCTGAGAATCGCCGACGCTGTAGGTCATCTGTTGTTCCAAACCATAAATTTATTGAACTGCAATAGCGCATCGATTTCAGCAACTACCTGGATTCGTAATGCTAATGCTGTAATTTGCTGTCATTTAGTGCTGTAATTTGATTCTTCTTTGCTAATGGATCTTCAAGTAATTGGAGCTAACTTGGTAATTGTAAGGCCCTAACCGGCTCTCTACCTACCCTAGATTGTAATTGATCATTAATCTATTTTATATAAAAATTATTCTTATTGCGATCAAGTTATAATCTGTGTTTAAGAAAGCTGTTGGTTGATTGTTTGCGGTGCCGGCTGCAAGTGACTGTCGTTTACAGTTCACCATAACGTTTTACTTCTACACGTCAGGGCTAACTTGTTTGGATACTCGTACAGAAATAAAACTTATGTATAAGGCAATCAAAAAAAGACCAAGTAATCGCCACCCAACATGATAAGTACCGCAATATTGTCGCAACTCGGGCGGTTCCTCGCGCTAATGGAAGTCGAAGCTGAGGCGTAGCCATGGCGCACAATCCATGGTTTCACAGCTTCTTTCTGCCGTTGGCTTCCATCGCGATTCATGAATAATTCATGAATCGCGATGGAAGCCAACGGCAGAAAGAAGCTGTGAAACCATGGAGTGTGCGCCATGAGCCAAACAGGAACCATCCATCGCTGCTTATAATTATTACAAGCAGGACGCGCGGCGCGTAAGCGCCGCGCTGAAGCAGCCACGGTTTCAATGGGCTCAGAAGTGTGGGTACCACACGCGTGGCCCGCGCTCAAGCTCTGACTCAGACTCTGACCGCTCAAACTCTGACTCTGACTACTCAAAGTCTTGACTCTGACTGTCCAAACTCTGACTCTGCCTCTGACTGAATAACCTAAGAATAACCTAAGAAAACTAAGAAACCTAGAAGTTTAAGAAGTCTAAAAAATCTCAGAATCTAAGACGGATTAGCTCAACGCTAGCGCAAAAAACCTGACTGATTGGCGATTGACCGATTTCCTATAGCATATGGCACTGTAGTTATTCACCAACTTCTCCTTTAACCGTTTGCCATTCGTAATAACGATGTTTGGTTTGATTTCATTATAGGCGACTGCGTTTGAACAAGGAAGAACGAGTTAGGCATATTACCGCTACTTATCCGAGAAAACCAAAGTAAGGAATGCTGAGGCGACGCAGAAGACTCCCTTGCCTGTTGAGGAACAGGGTTGGGCGTTGCCGCTGCCCGTGCTGAAGGAGATCTTCCAGTCACTGGACACCGTCGACCAGCTGCGTTGTCGTCGCACCTGTCAACTGTGGGAAACGCTGCTGATGTCAACGGAGCTGCGGCAGGTGGTGCGTGTGGTGCGACAGAAGAACAACTGCAGTTTTGTCGGTATACGCGCGGCAACTACGCCATGTACGGCTGCTTCGTCCACCACCCCACGCCCGCCCTCCGCACCGTCTGCATCCGGGATATCGACGTGCGCTCCGAAATCCGCTGGACGACGCGGATGCCGATGAAGCGGTGGACCTGCTGAAGAACGTATTAGACGACGCCGGCATCCGTCTCGAACGTTTGATCTTGTCCCGACGATCCATCCAGCTCATGGAGGTATCCGCAACCGATCGATGGACACTGAGAACGTTGTCCGCCGATGTGACCGTGATTATGACCAAGTTGGTGTCGTGCTGCCAGCGTTTGGTTCTGGACAAGTACACACTGGCCGTGCTTGGCAAGAATTACCAGCCGGTGATTGAAATCCGCATTCCCGCTGCCGTCTTCACGCCGGGACAAATCGGCTGGATGGAGATGCTGGAGCTGTTGGAGCAGCATCTGTACTGTGAGGGGTTGCCGGTAGATATGCAGCGCATGGCCCAGACCTTCGCCCAGGGGATCAACAGTGAAGTGAAAGCCGGGAAAGTGATGGAGGTACAGCGCAGCATTGCTATGAAGAGTGTTATAAAGTGCATAGCAGCTTTCTAACAAAAAATGGGATTAAGGAAATGCTGAGCAATCGCTATAGAAGTATGTATCTGTACTTGCTTAGCACAGCGGCCACAGCCTAAGGTTGTTAACGGTGCGGTTTTTTACCAGTGCACCGGTGCAATTTGAAAAAATTGCGGTGCGATTTTGAAAAATAAATTGGTACAGGCGGTGCGGTTTTTGAGAAAAACCGCACCGACGCACACCGGTGCGTTTGGGAAACCGCGTTGACGTACACCGGTTAACCACCGGTTAATTGACGATATTCTTAAATTCATAATTATCATAAATAATACTTATGCGATGACGCTGCACGCTGTGCTCACGCCCACGGGAAGCACGATCGTCCCAGATCGTACGTCCAAATCGTATAAAAACTGACAAGTACTGTAATCAGTGCTCACTCACACTGCCTACTCCCTAGTTCAACTTGTAGCTGCTGCAGCAACCGGGTTACCATAAGAAAGAAAATGTGTAGCATTGCTGCGCAAGAATATGACAATTTGATTTTCCACGCTCTACATTGAGTTTGTTTTCGTCGCAAAAATTCTTAGAGAATTTGTTTTCGATATTTACGTTTTCGTGACAGTTTTGCTACGACTGGATACATCCTGCTAGTGATGCCCTTAGAAGGCTTAATGCTAGCAGTGTCAAGAGGCCAGGGTCAAAAAGAGGGAGGAATTTTGTGAGGGAGGAATTTCACTGTAGTCAAAAAGAGGGAGGAATTTTTAGAGGGAGGAATTTTGCTGTGGTCGAAAAGAGGGAGGAATTTTTCGAAGTCGAACTAAAGTACTCGGAGACCTCGTACCCGGCTCTCCGAGGTCGCCAATGCGATTTTAACTGTAAATATACAGTTTGACATGCTGAGTCGAACTGAAGTATTGGGGGACCTCGTACCCGGGTCCACGAGGTCGCCACTGAGATGTTCACGATATATATGCAGTCAAAAGTGCTAAATCGAACTGAAGTATCGGGAACTTCCGACCATGTTTCTGACCATGCTAACAAAACCAACATTACTAGCATGCTCCGACGAGTGATGTCCGGTAGCAGCAAGTATATTTCCTTACACAAAAGAGTGCTGAACTTTTCTGGCATTTTATTACTTGATTCGGGGAACAACGCAAATTTAAAAATTGTTTTTGCGAACAGAATACGTTTCTATTGTGGGAACTGGTGAGGTTCTCATCGCCTTCGTCATGGATGAATAGCTGGTAAACGCAGTTGAGTTGACCCTTCCCTTATTGTTCGGATTGAAAAATTAAAGAAAGTGCTGTGCAATTCGACAGAATTTATAGCTGCTTCATTGTGCGATTTTAACTATATATATACAGTTTGACGTGCTGAGTCGAACCGAAGTACTCGGGGACCTCGAACCCGGGTTCATGAGGACGGCATCAAAGTTTGTGGACATTGACTCTGAAGTCACTAGATTTGTCTCGTAAATGTCACCATTTGTTTCCCTGTGATCTCCGAGTCATTTTGAAATGTTAAGTTCAGTTTTTAAAGTAGTTTCCAATAGGTTTTGTAATGTTTAATCTTCAGTTCCTCAAGTCAGCTGACTCATTTTCATTTGTCAAACTGATTTCTGAATTTGTTATCCGAATTGTGTTTCTAAACTTATTTTAATTTTCTTGATTTTCATGACAGATTTCGGCAGTTTCGCAGTCGTATCCGGAAGTGACCGAAACTAATCCGCTTAATTATCACATTAGCGGTTCAATTTTATTAAAACATTTATAAATATGTTCCACATAACCTCGAAATGATTATTAAAAACTAAAAAGCTTCAGAATTCGTGGTTCATGTATACAAAATTCGGTCGCGCTAGCACGCCACCAGCGCTTCCGATCACTTCGGTTGCGATACATTTCGGCCGCATGCGATCACTTCGACCGACGTTCATTTCAGCCGGGGTTCACTTAGGGCAGCAGTCATTTCGGCCACTTCCCATTTCGGCAAAAGGACATTTGGTCATCTTCAATTTCCCAAGCTTTCGTTATGTTGCTTCGGTTTTTTTAGGTTTCTTAGGATTTTCCTAGATTGTTCTTATTGTTAGGCTTCTTAGTTTTGTTAAGATTCTTTATGATAAATTTAGTTTTGTTAGGTTTCTTAGGTTAGGTTTCTTTGGGTTCCTAGGTCTTAAGCTTTCTCAGGTTTCTTAGACACGTACGAGATCAAATGAAGCCTACCATCGCGGGAGAGAAGGCTAAAATTCCTGAAAACACACCGGAAATTAAAAAAAAAACCTAAGCAACCTCTGAAACTTAAGAAACCCAAGAAAACCTAAGAAACATAAGAAACCTGAGAAACCTCTGAAACCCAAGAAAGTCTAAGAAAGCTGAGAACTTAAGAAACCTAAAAAAACCCAGGAAAACCTTAGAAACCTTACAAACACAAGAAAACCTAGGAAATCCTAAGAAAATCTAAGTAACCTAAGAAATATGGCCCAAAAAAACCTAAAAACCCAAGAAAAGCTAAGAAAATAACATAAACAGGGAAAACTTGGGAAACCGAAGGCGGTAAAATGTGCCGTTGCCAAA